TCTTCCTGCATTTCACCGACTAGCCTGGAGTAACAAGGGAGCTACAGATGATGAGGTAGCAGCAGAGAGGAGAACAATGAGTATGAGAAAATGAGAACAAACATGAAAACCAGAGGACCTGAGATTTTCGCTTTAGAAAGCCCTATAAAGATAGTACAATGCTATAGAAAGCAAAATGTTTTAAATTCAGCTGTTCACAATTTTGGTTTTCAGTCCTGAGTCTATACAATAGGGATTCTTCAGAGGTTTGTAAGATGTTGTCTGGAAAAAACAATCTGAGAAGACGACATTTTTAATAAAAGGAAATGCTAAAGCAGAATGTTTTTCCTCAGAGAGTAGTGTGAAAAATTCTCTTAGCCATGGGAATAAGCACAGGCATTTAGACTCCAGAAATTATGACAGTTTTCCATACTCAAAATCACCGTCCTAGCTACTAACTGTATGTAGCTACTAATAGGACGTTGATGTTATTCTGCTTTTTGTGGTACCTGTCCAAAAGGATGAGATGGACTGCACCCAACAACACTAGTCTAAGACCACAAAACAATAATCAGATGGCAAAAAATCCTCTTTTGATACTATACACACAAACTTAGCTATCTAAAGATAGCATTAATTTCTATTAGGCAGCCATTCCATTAAAGTGAAAGCCCAGGATATCAGTCTAAACGTTCAAAGTATTTATCAAAATGTAAGTGGCAATTAGTTATTTCAGGACTTTCTACTTTATAGTTCCTATTAATGTATTTTTAATAAAGTTTAGTTGCCTAAAACTGCAAGGAGAAGCAGAAATCCAATCTTAAGAAAAATATAGGACTTTTAAAGTTTTGCTTTATTTTACTTTGGAATGAAACCTGACAGTTTCAAAAATTCTCTAAATGCCTTACAACTCAAAACTTTCTTGAGAATTTGGAAAATACATGTTTAATTTTAAATGTTAATTTACATGTATGTATTTGTATTCACAATGCTAAGCTGAAATAAACTACTAACTTTCAAAGTGAAAATTTGAAACTACTGAAAAACCCCACAATTTTCAACACTCAGACCTTGTTTTGAAGCTGTTTTTCTATTTTCAAAACTAGTTTCTGAAAAAATCCTGATGTTTTTCAGTCTTAAAGTGAAAATTTTCTGTTGAGTATTTATTTCATGCAGTATTTCTAAGTTGCTTTAGTAATGACATAAACCTCAGCCTGCAGGAGGTGGATGAACTATCCCAACAGCTATATGAGAGCATAATTTCCACTGTAAAGTGAGAATTGCTGGTAAAAAATCTTCTTTCTTTACTTCCTTCTACTTGGAGGCATATGAAGTCTTAGCCTGGCTTGAATGGGCAAAAATGAAATACTGCAGACAGGCTGCTTTGTTAATATTAATAGCAGCACAGATACCTACTCTTCAAGAGAAAATGAATAGTTTTGGTTATTACACCTTGTGGGGAAACCAACTGGCTCACACAGACTCAACAAGCTCAACTGATCAACTGGAACAGGACAGGCGGCAAAGAGACGATGGCAGCAGGGCAGGAGGCAGCAGCACTAACAGGTGGGACACCAGTGGTGGTGACAGCAGAACAGCTGGTGCTCTGCTCACACAACTCCAAATGATCTATAGACCGTGCTGAGCCTCGCTAGGTATGCAGTTGGTGTGTTAGCCAAACTCTTTGGTGTGTCCTTCCTACTTATCTTTCTTTCAATGTCACTGCAGAGTTGCAATGCTTGAAATAAGGGGTGTGCCTGCTGCTTTGTGATTACCTCTAGTATTTAAACTATAGAGGCAGTATTTTTTTTCCTCCTATGGAGGAAAAAAAACCCAACAAAAAAACAGGCATCAACCAGCACCATGCTGCTGGTCTGGCTTACTGTACCACACAGCGAAATATGTGTTTGTTTAGCCTTTAGGTTTTGTCTTTTTTTAAAAAAAACGAAACTACAGACTTGCATACCAGGGGCGAAGAAGACCCCAAATCCTGACAATTGGCACAAGTTATTATCAGACACAGACCTATCTCTTCTTTTCCCAGCTTCTTCAAAATGAAATGTTGAGAGAGTTGGAGTTGTTGAGCCTGGAGAAAGCTCCAGGGAGACCTTCTAGCACCTCCCATTACCTAAAGAGGTTACAAGACAACTGGAGGGGGACTTTGGA